GTTGTGTATATATGCACATAAATTCTTTGGTTACTCTCTCCCCCTCCACCCACCCGCCCTCCTCCATCCCTCTGACATTCATCAGTCTCATCTATGCTTCCATGTCATTGAATCTATTCTGTTCATCAGATTATTAAGTTCTTTAGATTCCACGTATAAACGAGATCATGTGATATTTGTCTTTTGCTGCCTGGATTATTTCACTTAGCATAATATTCTCCAGGTCCATCCATACTGTCCCAAAGGGTACGAGATTCTTCTTCTTTACAGCTGCGTAGTATTCCATGGTGTAAATGTGCCACAGCTTTTTAATCCACTCATCTACTGATGGGAGTCATATATATTTTAAAAGACCCCGTATGTTAGAGCTGCATGGTGGTGTTCAGAGTTTCCTTTGATTTGCTTTCAAATACTCTCAGCTCACATGCAAAAAAAGTGTGTGTGGGAAGAGAAATACGAAAGAATGGCACATGTTGACAGTTGTTGGAGCTGGGTGATGGGTCATGGAGGTTTACTGTACTATTTTATTTTTGTGTTTGAAAATTTCTATAATAAAAAGTTTAATAGAGAGGGGGTACTCTTGGGCCCAAACAAGGCTTCCTTGAATTGGGGAAAAAAAATAATTGAGTCCCTCACTGGCCTTCATAGAAGGGAGTAAAACAATGTCCTGGAAGATTGGCAGGGTGTGTGTTGAGAGAATTAAGGCTAAAGAGATAGAACCAATCAGGCACCTCCAGGATAAAAGGACAAGTTACACAGCAAGTAAAGAAATGTAACCACCTCTTGGGTCTGGAAGGCAAAGAAATTGACTGATTAAGTCCAGGCTGATCCCTGACCCCAATCCCCAAGTCCATGGTCTCAACCACCATACTCGACCACATCCCAGGGTGGTGGAAAAGACTTCTTTCCTGGGGCTGGGAAAAGAAATATTCCCACCCGAGATCATTCCACAACAAAGACCCAGAGCAGGAGGCATGCACAGGGTGACAGGCCTCCAGGGTCAGAGGCCTGGGATGAGGTAGGTTCTGTCCTCCTGAGTGACCACAGCCTCAAGACAACAACTGGGGAAAAGGCGATTTCTCTGATGACTCAGTCAGCAAAACTCCAGGAATTTTAAATGATACTGTAAAATGCACACTCGACACCATGCTGTAAATACAAGAACCTCAAACCCTGAGGGAGGGAGTATGGAAGATGCACCCAGAGAGTTCCCACCGGGCAGGACAGTGCAAGGCTTGAGCACTGGGTGTTCCCACATTCAGAGCCCAAGGAGAACCTATGTAGCCTGCTCCACTGCCAGCTTTCCAAATGGGGACAAGGACCATCAGGGAAGACAGGTGACCTGTCTCAGCTAAGGGAAGAGGGCTCAGCTAAGGGAAATAGGAACCAAAGGAAGGCAGTCAAGAACCTGCCATTCTGCCCTGGCCGGTTTGGCTCAGCGGTTAATGTCGGCCCGTCGACGGAAGGGTCCCGGGTTCAGTTCTGGCTAAGGGCATGTACCTTGGTTGCAGGCTCGATCTCCGGCCCTGGCCGATGTGCGCAGGAGGCAACCAATCAACGTCTCTCTCTCACATCGATGTTTCTCTCCCCTTGCCCCCTCCACTCTCTCTGAAAAAGCAATGGAGAAAATATCCTTGGGTGAAGATTAAAAAAAAAGAACATGCCATTCTTTTACCTTAAAATCCTTTCTCTAGGAGGAGGGATAGGAAACAGGTTTTAAAACACAGTCCCTGGATTTGTCTTTGGGCACAGCTGGGGGATTTGAATCTCTGCAGCCAGGTTAGGAGGGGAGAAACTGGGGGAGGGCTCAGGGTGCACTGCAGGACAGAGGACAGGCCATGGGCCCTGTGGGAGGAAGGCAGAGTGGATCCTTCTCACCCCCCCCCAGGCCACGAGAGCCACTGAATGAAGCCTTGTCAGAAAAGGAGGGAGGAGCTGCACGGTGCTTATGACAACACCACCAAGCTCCTTAGCAGATCAGGCCTTTCAGTGTGTGGCAGAGGGGCTGGTGAGAGGGGGGTGTCATGGCCAGCAGAGCCTGGACTATCTGAATGGGGTGGAGAGGGATGCGGAAGACAGAGAGGAACCATTGCTGCTCTGCCTCACTGTGTCGTCACACCACCACCACTGTCTTGGCCAGAGCAGGGATGGCTCCCTGGTGTGAGACAAGTCTGGACTATCTAACAGTATAATCTGCAGGTCACTCTGGAAAATGCGGGGCCAGAAGATGCCACACATCTTCCATGTGAGGTCAGATTTGAAACCAGTACCCTGTGTACTGCCACCCAGAGTCCCTAACCGAAGGTACCCAGGGCCCCAGGTCCATGTTACAACTGTTTGACTAAAGAACAGCTTTATTGGTGACCTGATGGAGCCAAGGTCACTCCTGTGCAGTGTCAGCCTGCAAGGCCTCCTCTGGGCAGGAAAGCCAATCATAATTCATAGAAGTTCCTGACAAGAGGTCAGATCTCCATTCCTAATTATAAGAAAAATTCCAAATCTTGATTTCAGAGTCGAAAGATCAGAGGCTGGAATCCTGATGGGTATCAGTGCCCCTGCCTGTGGGGGCTCAGGAGGCTGGCTGAGTTGTTCAGCAACATTTGTGGGGCCGTGCAGACGAGGTAAGAGGCCAGGCGGCCACAGGAAAGTACCCAAGACAAGTTCCCAGGAGGGTTCACACTTCGGCAGCATGTGGAATCTGGCCCTGAGATTGTACTTTGGGTCCGGGTTGCACTTTGGGTCCGATGGGGTCCATTGCCGAGCAGCCTGGGTAGCAGAGAACCTCGCCTGCTGGCCCTCAGCATGCGAGGGCTCCATGGTCTGGGTTCAGTGGTGCTGCTACAGCCTGTCACATCTTAGCTCCTCATTGCTGGGGTATCCCCTACATCCTGACAGGATACAGGTACCACATCACCACTCCTGAAGGGTTGATGATCACTGTGAAGACGGTTTCAGCCTGGAGGCCACTGATGACACCACCCGTGTAGACATCCTGGGCCTGCAATGGGAGGGATATAACAGTGCCATCATAAGAATGGCCATGCAGAGACCCCTCAGGGGACGTAGAAACCTGGAATTTGGCCTGTCTGTGCTGGATCTCCAGTATGCCCTACAGAAGTGGGAACGTGAATGTCCTATCACTTCTCCACTGGCACAGCCAAAAGATGCCCAGACACAGGCAGTGGTGAAAGCCCTCACCCACAGAGAACCCAAGGACTGTGCCAGTGAGGGCTGACCAGTGAGGGGAGGAGCATGGCCTCAGTGGGTAATGGGACTCATTTATACACAGTAGTTCTGCACAGCTTGAAGATACCAGTGCAGAGAGCAGCACCAGCCATGGCCTTCAGTGCCTGCAGCTGCCACATGGGCACCTGCCACAGGACTCATGGCTTAGGGAGGCCATGTCTGAGTGAGGACCACCCTCAGCAACACCCTCCCAAGGGAAACAAAAGGCACTCACTACCTGCAGGGCACTCACCTCATATAACCTGGAGCTGGTGAAGTTGAGCTGGGCGAGGGAAGAGTGGAAGCGATAAGGCATATCTGTCCTGCGGCTGAAGAAGACTAAGGCGTAGGCATCATTGACCAGGGGCCGCAGGTACACTTCAATGTGGGATTTCAGCTGGGCACAGAAGATGGCTACTGGCTGGGGTTCCTGCTCAGGCAGGCCCTGAAGTTCCCTTCCTGGCCCTCCCTTGAGCCCTGGGTCCCTTCCATCCCACAGTTCCACGTCATGCAAAAGCTTGAAGGGGTGATACCACAGCCATCCAGTACCCCAACATATCTAACTACTTTTCTTCCTTCCCTGACTCAGCAGACGCTCCCCAACACTTCCTGTGTGCCAGACCCCATGCCAGGGCACAGAGGCAATGCTGCATGAGGTCCTGCCTCAGAGAGCTCATAGGATGATGGGCGGGACAGATGTGGACAGCTACTGCACTAGAGTGGAGGGCACCGGCATGCGGGAATGATGCCCCCTGCCCTGAGCAGCCAGGAGCGTGAACCCCCATCTTCCAGAAGGTCCCCAGCCTGGCAGGGATTAGTTACCTCCACTGGGCCTCACCAGTTCTACAGGTGTGTAGATTTCTTTTTACTAGAGAGGGAAGAATTTGTGCAAAGAGCAAAAACTTTGGGGAAGCATTGTTGATATCAAGTCCTATTGTACTATTTACCAATTGTGAAGTCTTGGGCTAAAGTTACTTAGACTCTTCAAGTCTCAGTTTCCTCATTTGTAAAACAGGGAAGGAGTATCGGCCTTCTGAGAAAATGTATCTAGAATGCCCAGCACACAGTAGGTGATCAATAAGTAGAAGGCGCCAATACAAGTAATAGTCATATTCCTTGCTCAGACAACACCTAAACACTGTAGGGAAGCCCCAGTTCTCTACCGGACATCACAGTTCTCTGCCAGACATCTTGTACTTCCAAACTGAGAGGCCTCACTGTTCCCTGTGCACTGTGTGGTGATGTCTCCCTTCCCCAAATCCCAGGAGCTGTCCAGCTCTGGCCCTGCTCTCACCTGAGCAAATGGGGGACAGCTGGAGTAGCTCCCAGTAGTCTTCAACTGCATGCAACCAGCCTTGCAGCCTTGTTCTCAGAGGAGCCTAGTCCCTCAGCCTCCCTTTCCTTCCCCCCACACCCAGTACCTTGAGAATTCTGTATCCCTGGATGCCTAAGGGGTCCTGGTTGATTTTGATCATGAGTGAATTCTGTAGAATGTCCATGTTCTGGGCGGAGATGGTGCGCAGGTCTGTAGACATGAAGAGGGGGGCCGCCAGCACTGTCCACAGGGCCATCTGGGCCTGGGCTTGCTCGAAACTGAGGCCGAAGTTCCCAATGAGCAGCTAGGAGCAGAGGAGAGGAGCAGTCAGCCCTGCCTTCTTCAGGGAAGAGGGCACAGGCACTCCCAAGCTTGTAGCTGAGGCAAGAGAAGACGGAAGTGGGAAGGACAGCCAGAGGTGGGAGCCTGGTTTGGCAAACACTATTCCCCAGCAGTATGGCCTCGGATGAGTCATGTCACTTTCCATTTGAGCCTCAGCTTGTTATTTCACAAAAATATGGGGGTGCTAGTCATGTCACAGGTTGTTCAGATGATCCAATGGGATCCTGCTGCCAAAAGCATTTGTAAACTGAAACATGCAAGTCAAGAAACACAGCCAGGGTGGCAGTGGTAGGAAACCAGAGCCAGAGCTGGACAGAGTCCCTGCTCCTGCCAGTAGCCACCACATGCCCTAACTGGACTGATGGGGACTCCTGACCCAGAACAACCAATCCAAATGGGACAACATTACTGCTTACATAACATTGTTACATACTTAGTGATACCAACTTAACTAAGCACCGTATATGTGCCAAGCTGTGCCAAGCACTGTACAGGGTCACCCATTTCTCCCTCAAAACAACCCTGTATTAGGTAGCTACTACTATTCTCATTTTCCAATTGACAAAACTGAGACACAGAAAAAATTAAGTCACTTGCCCAAGGTACATGGCAGAGCTGGAGCTAGAACTCTAAGGCAGGCCAATTTCTGTTTCTCCAGGTGCCCCACCATCTGGCTGAATATTTGAATTATTATAATCATCACTGGAAGTAAATGCTTGACTAAGTGAAGAGGTAGCTATAAAACTATAACACAAATTGTAAAAATGTTTAAGTCACCAGGGCTATGAGTGAGGTGGGTACAAGAGGCCGATTCTGTCTGTGGAGGCTCTGCAGGAGGGTGACAGGGTACAGGCCATTGAAGAAGGGTCAGAGACAGCCTGGGCGAGGGCAGACTAGGGAGGGGATGGACAGACAGTGTGGGATATTCATGTTTTCACCCTGCAGAGGAATAATGTCTCACATGAGTCACTACTGACCAAGTTCTGAAGTTTTAAGCATCAGAATTGCCTGGGAAGATTGCTAACAATGGGCATTCCCAAGCCCTCCCCCAACATTCTGATCTGAAAGGTGGGGGTAGGGCCCTGGGATCAGAATTATAAATAAGCTCCAAAGGAGTCTAATGCAGCTGGTTCAAGGACACATTTCAGAGACATTGATCTAGAACCTGGCAGTGAGCGACCACTTAGAGGGCACAGGGCGGAGGGGAGCAGGTCCATCATAGATGGTGGGCCATGGGACACCCCCCTCCATGTTGGTACCATGTCTGGATCATTCCAGTGTCCAGGGCCTGCCACTGGCTGCAGTACGTCCTGATGGTCCACAAACCAGTCCAGGATGGAGAGCACACTTCTCCAGGAGTCTTGGATATCGCCATAGTTGCGCCAGAGGTTGCAGATTTCTGACAGCAGACTATAGTTCACCTGGATGTCAGGGGAGGCAGAGTCCAGCACCAGAGTCACACCCTGCTGCCTGGAGGCCTGCACAGGGGTTGGGGAAGTGCCGCAGGAGAGACAGAGGGTGGGGAAGGGAGAGAACGAGCCCTAGCTTGTTCAGGATGAGGAAGGCCTCGGAGAGAGGGGCCCTGCTCTGGGGCTCCATGGGTGCTGGTGCCAAAAGCCAAGCCAAGAGTACCGGCCCACGCTGGTATACCAACAACACCCCTGCTGCACATCCACCCTGTGTCCTCGCAGTGAGAGTCCCACCCTCTGCCAGCATTCTCCCTCAGGTCTGCAAGTTTGACCCCACCCTTTCTAGTGTCTTAGGTGCTGAGGGGCCCCTGGTGAGGTGCCCGCAAGGCCCTTCAGAGGCTCAGCCCCACCTACCTATCCTCACCAGCCTTCTGGATCTCCTAGCCCATTCAGTACAACCCAGATTCTGACCACTTGATGAGTGCGGTGTGTCTGCACATCACATATGGTTCCCAAGCCTTCAGCCCACCTAACAAGTGGCTCTTCTTTAAGACCCTAGGTTGGCTGAGGCCCCCTCTGGGGTAGTTAGGACCCTCTCTCTAGGCCTACAAATCAAGCACATGGGCAACTATGGTGAGAGAAGCCCTGACTGCACAGGAGGTGAGGAGGCCAGATGTGGGGAACACTGCCAGGTGGATGCACAGAATGGCTTACCTTGGGGGGGAGGCCCCCTTCGTAGGCTGGCCAGCTGCAGGAGAAGGCGATGGGGCGGCCTGTGGCATTCAGGGCAGCAGCCATCATGGGGTACCCTGGAGAAGTTCAGCCCCCACATTTCAGGACCAAAGAGGTGCAGGAAGCAGCATGGGGCCTCAACCGAAACCTTCTCCCACCAAATGTGAGGAAATAGGCCCAACAGAGGTGCTTCCCCATGTACCCAATGTCACAAATGCTTCCTAGGTGGGGCATAGTACCAACCCATCTTTAGGGAGCCTGGGAGCCAAGATCCTCCAGCCCCTGGGTGAGGGGAATTGGGAAATACTACTTCCTAGGAGCCTTACAGACAGACAGAGGCTCAGCCAAGTGGACACTGGAGGACCTTCCACAGCCATCCCTCTCTGTCTGCCTGATGGTCCCCAGCCAGCTGTGGGACTTACCTTTGGCCCGTTCCTCTGGGGTCGAGAAGCAGCCATCCAGCTTCAGCATGTCCACCTTCCACTCAGCGAAGGTTTGAGCATCCTGGACCACCCTGTCTAGCGTGGTGCCTGGGTAACCCATGCAGGTGAAGTTGCCTATGTCCTCATAGATGCCCAGCTTTAGGCCCAGGGAGTGAGCCTGTGGAGGGAGCCAAGGACACAGTGGGCTCAGGAAAGGACCCTCAAGGAACCGCCTCACAGGCACATCTGGCCAGGCCCCATTAGAACCTTCAATGGTGCCTCAGTACCCAAAGGAAAGGGCTCTGCCTGCTGGTCTGGCCTCTGCCAACTATGGTCCCCCCCCTGCCAACATACACACTCCCATGAGCTGTTTCTTGCCTCTAGGCCTTTGCTTCTGCCATCTCCTTTGTCTTAAATGCCATCTCTCTGGAATCAGCTCAAGAACTGCCTCCTCTTTGGAGAAACTTCCTGAAATCCCAGGCTGGATCAGATGCCCTTCCTGGCTCCCACCGACCACTGTGGGCCCAAACTAGCTGTTTATTTATGTTTCCCTCACCAGACTGAGTTCTCAAGCAGGGATTGTGGAAATGGAGCCCTAAGTAGGGTAAGGTGGAAAGAGCGATCTGGCCCTGAGGCCACAGGGAAGGGTTGGGGTAGGGCTCACATAGTCAGCCAGGAAGGCAATGCCATTGGGGAAGCGCTTGCGATTAGGCACCAGGTAGCCTTTGGCATCACGTCCACCAATCCAGCAGTCATCGATGTTAAGGTATACATAGCCCAGGTCTCGCCATCCGTCCTGTGCCAGCCGGTCAGCCATCTCTATGAACAGCCGCTCACTGGCAAGAGGGGCAGGAGATGGAGCAACTTAGTGGCCCAGCATGTTCCTTATCCTTGGCACCTTCCTCAAAGCTTTTCAGATGCTCTGAGTGTGAATCCAGGCTATAAGAACCCTGGCCTTGCAGTCAGCTGCAGACTAAGCCAGGTAACAATTGTAAAGACAACAGAGATTATGTCATGAGCCCTAAGCAGAGTGAGCTGAAACAAATGGCCTGGTCCCAGACCAAGGGGGCAAGACTGAGCCAAGGGAAGCACTGTGAGGTCTGGCCTGACCTTAATAGTTATCTCCTTTCAATTATCTCAGAGACTGGGTCAACTACAAGGTACCTGCCCCACAGGCCTGAAAGGCCCCACAGAGGCCCCAAGCATGTCACAAGGCTGTCAGATGTCCTAAAAGTCACCTCTGGCTGTAGTCTCTCTGGAATGGGGGTTGGGGGGGGTGTCTGACCCTGTTCTCTTTTCTGGCTGACCCTCTCTCCTCCCTGCCCCCACTCTGCAGGGCTCTGGGCAAAGCTTGTCAGGTGGTGCTGACCTTACTCACCTGATGCAGTTCTTTGGGTCCTGATCACAGTCAATGTTGCAGCGGAAGCGTTCCCAGGACAGCCAGCCCATAGGTGGCTTCTGCAGGAGCCCATTCTCCAGCACCAGCACCTGGTCCACCAGGGCCAGCAAGAGCACTGTAGGAGGGTTGAGGCATGACTATGAGTGGCTCCCATAGCCCCGACCCCTCCACATGCTGCTCAGCCCTGCAGAGGCTTCCGGCCTGCACATTAGAGGAGCAACTCCTGGGTGTGAGGCAGAATTGGTTCTTCCTGCAACTGCTGGCTCCTGCATGCAGCGAGTGAGCAGATGGTGCCTGATGTAGATCAGTGTGTTTGAGGCACGGGTCCCCAGTTGCTGTTCAGTGCTAGAATTAGCAAAAACTAATAGCTGAGGTCATATCCTTTCTATACCCAGACCAACTCCATCACACAGGACTTGACAGTACACTGTAGGCAGGCTCCAGGTCTCCTGAGTCCCATCCAGGATTTTTGCTCTCCACCACAGACCCCCAAGAGGTCTCAGAAGCACTAAAGAGGTCAGCCAGGTGGGACCTGCACCCAGCCAGCTCACCTGGGTGAGCCCTTTTCCTCTTGGGCTCAGTTTCCTTATCTGTAAAATGGACTTAATGTCCCGACTTTACAGGGTTGTTTTCAGCACATGTTGATATCACATAAGATAGGGCCTCTGCACTTTGGGGGAGACGGGATGAGAAAGAAAGAAACCTCTTTAGAGGGGAACTGATTTCTGCAGTGGGAAGCATTTCCTTCTCCTTTCCCTGCCTAGCTCCAAGAATAAGAGGAACATGTGTCCCCACATACCCACATCAGGGGGAGGCCCAGACACCAGAGGACTGGGCTTCCTTCAGGGAGCTCCCACCCTAAGCTGGTCACCTACCCTCCCAAAGCACCCCCTCCCCTGTAGGTTACCTGTCTTCCACAACATTGCTCTTCACGCAGCGTCTCAGGACCTGACCAGATCTGCTCTGCTTTTACCAGCTTTATAGGATGGGCTTTGGGAGCTAAGGAACGGTAGAAAAGCACTGGAGTCACTGCTGCCGGGCTAGCCCTGCGGCCTTCAACCCTGGGCGTGGATCCCCAAACCGCCCTCACTACCCCCACTCCCTCCCAGCCATCACGTCCCTTCTTCCTCCAGAAATACTAAACAACGCGTCTTGGACATCAGACCTCACCCCCTCTGCAGTGCTGGGCGCCCCGAGAGCCCAAGGGTGGCCCTCCCTCCGGGCAGGGGCCAAAGAGACGCAGCCCCGGCTCCAGGACGCCCAGGAAGACAGGAGAAACCAGGCCGAGACGAGGCTCTGGACTCCTACCGGGTCTGGGTTGCCGCCTCTGGCCGCCAAAGGCAGCAGGCCAAGCGAGGGGACCCCCACTCCCACCCCCACCCCAGAGAGCCGGGGCCGCGGCGCTCACCTGCCGACCTCCTCGGAGCCGCCGCCGCTCC